TTTTTTAGATTCGCGGTTTTTGTGGAGTGGGGCGCTCTTTGAAACGATCGAAAGTTCGTGGTGGTTCTTTACTCAACAACAGCCGGCTTTGAAAGTGAGCTGCATGGTGGCGTCTCTCACAGTTCAGCACGCGCCTAATGGGAAATTCTCTAGGGGATATACGGATCGTTTTAGGAGCGCTGTTTCATCAGAATCTTCTTGCGCGGCAAATAGCGCGCGCTCGCATTTACCGCACTCAAGACGCGAGCATGGAACGCTTTTTGGATCGCTCCAAATCCACCCGGAAGTGAATCGCCTGCGCTCCCACGTGTTTCACAATGGCCTATTCTCGCTTGGCTGCAGCCGGTTACTTTGAAGTATAGAATTAAAAGCGAAATTCGCAATCCTAGCTTTCACACATCATAGAAAAGACGTGGTGTCGCTGCAGACACGACTATGTGCGAAAGCATATTTGCTTCATACGTATGCTACAAACATGTCTCCAGGCAGTTTTTTTTTTATTGTTCAACATGACAGGGATGTTATACAAGGAAAAAGCGCACCTCGGACAGTATGTACAGACTGTCTTTTGTATGAAGTATTAGCGATGTCACCTCGACCCAATATCACGGCACGGGTATGTGAACCGACCGGCACGCGCATGCGCCGGAACTGCTAATTAAGTTTGGTTACAAAGCCATGCGCAGCGACGGTCGTATACGCTTTTAGTAACTCCAATCATGCGTGTTCAATCCCCCCTTTTTCCTGCTTCATAATTCGGACCCCGGATTACGCCTGTTTTTTGCTGCACGCTTGGGAAGCCGGTGGCTTCCCCGCTTCTCCCCATCACGTCTTTGCCGCACTGATGCCGGCAAAGTTGCAACGAAAAAAAATAGCCGCAGGGAAAGTGGAGGTCGCTAATGCAGATGCTATCGGACTGGCGACGCGAGTCGAGGGAAATATGAAGGTTGCATCGTTTTTATTTTCCTTTCACTTTGTAGGGTGAAGCCGCACCAGCGTCACACGGATTGTCTCTTTCGCTTGTGGAGAATGTTACATTAATGCTTGAGCTTAGAAGCGACGTGGGATTCTTTACCATTCTCGACTGGTTTTGAGTTTAATCGAAGAGTCAATTGTCGAGATGAGAAGTTTTAGCTAATTGCCGCACGTCGCCGCTGGATTAATCGGGTTCAGACGTATTTATTCATCCATTGCGAATATTTCCCTCAACGGAGATCTGTGTTTATCATCGGAAAAACCTTTTCACATGTTAGAAGAAAAAAATAGTTCAGGTTTGTTGAAATATATAAAAGAGGCCTCTCCATGATTCTTTAACCGTTCTTATTATTGCACGTGCGACTGCGTCTATGACTGATGACTCATCATTTTCTCAGTGTCAGGTTTTACTTCTTGAGCCGCAGTTATGCTTGTCCCAGTTTGAGTATTGTTGGATTCATTGCATGTCTGCTTAATCGAGCATATACTTGACGACTCGCTTTTTTCTTTAAGGTTTTTTTTTTCGTGTTTCCATTGTTTTTTGTTGTTTTTTTTTTTAGAAAAATAACTTATTCCGGCGTACTTTGTGAGGCCTTTTATAACTGTGCGTACAATATTCACTTTTTTCTTTTTCTTTTTTACGCTCGCCCACTTTTGTAGAAGTTGTATAGTTAAGGGCTCCCAATATAACGGGTAATTGTGAGAAATCCGTACTCGGCTTTTCGAACCGCAAAATGAAACTAGACGTCGCGGAGAGCACGAACTTCGTCAGAACGTAGCCCCAGCCGTTCATGCAAGAATCTAAAATTTCCGCACAAACCGTTTCTTTTTTTTTTTTTTTTTTTTTTTCAAAAATTATAAGCGATTTTTAGAATATTCGAATGGAAAAATGGCGGCCGACGGAGCATGCGAGTACATGGAGCTCTATGGCTCCAGAAATCAAAAACGGCCGAAAATGGAGTACATTTTTTCCATTGAAAATTTCAGAAAATCACTTATAACTTTTGAATAAAATAACACTTTGTGCTGAAACTTTGGAATATCGCTCGAGCGCCTGGGGCTACGTTCTGGGGGAGTTTGAGCTCTCCGCGACGTCTAGTTTCTTTTTGCGGTGCGAAAAGCACGGGTTTGGATTTCCCACAAACACCCTTTGCTATATATAACTGGTCATACTAGGTTTCTTTAAATCTCTCTCTCTTCTCGCTAAAACCCCTACGAGGGGAATAAAAGGGGGGGGGGGGGGGAGCACACAATGTGTCGCCCGTGGATTCTGCGTGCGTTAAGCGGCGGTCAATGAGCTTACACATCCTCTACAAAAGACAGTCTACAGAAACTGTCTGTTACGTGTTCTTTGTATGACCAACCTGTCTAACTGATCATAAAAAAGAAAAACAGGCTGCAGACATGTTCAAAATCTGCATACGTGTGAAGCCAACATGCCGCGGTCATGCATCAGTCATGTTCGTTGATAGCTCTGCCAACATGATCGGCAGAGAACGCCGCGTCTTTTTGTGTGACGTACGAGGCGTGTGACTGTGGCCTTTCATTTTCTATGCCTGGTTACGGGAAGGTTTGAATTCTCACAGAAGTGGAGTGTGTGAGGAGTATGCTTTAACGAGGAATGTCCGTGTGTTCCCCTTCTGCCGAAAGCGCGTGCAGCGCCCCTTAGCAAAAAGAGGCCGTACTTCAAACGAAGTTGAAATATATTTAGTACGAATATTCATTTTGTATTTATTCTGTATTATTTTGGCCGCATTCGAAATACGCGCGTAATGTGTTCAAAATACATTATAAATATGAATCAAAAAATATTTTAGGTATACCAAAAATTTTATTCCTTCACACTCAAGATGCCATTTGTGGATAAAAACCGGTTACACAATTATTTTTTTTATTTTCGATTTTGTCAGCAAGTGGTGTCCCTGTGGTATTTGAAGGCACTACTAAATACATCTCACAAAGCCACATTAGAAACGAACACAAACACAAACACCATGACGCACTGAAGAGCTCATTCACAGTCCCGTTGGCTGCTCTAGAGCCTTATATAGCCTATATATTGAAGGTAATAATTTTTTCGGTGACCACCTCTGCGCTTATTAAGGTTACAAGTATTCGATCTTCTCCTCGGGAGTCTGTCAAGGGGGAAACAGTGTTTTAAAGTTCGTGGAGGATGTCTCTTACTAAAAGGCATTGGTACAACTAATAACAATTCGGCACAGTCCCTAAAACAATATCCACACAAACGGCTCATAAAATACATGTTATTGCTTCTCTGCGTAGCACCACTCAGGGCGAAGCGAATCAAGGCAGTTTCTTCACTTTAAAATACTGTAAACGACTTTATTTTCGTGAGGACCTAATTCTCGCAAAGTTGGCGAATCGCCTACAATTCAGAAAGTAGGTCCCGTGAACAATTTCGGCAAAATGTAAAAACATTAAAATCTATATTGCAATCCCAGCGCGTCGCGAAAATTAGAATTTGTGAATTATTCCAAAACTCCAACTTTGACCTAAATCGCGAAATATTGAGCCCGCGAAAAATAAATATTTTACAGTAGTTGTTTTGCCTTTCCTTTTTAGTAGTTGACTATTTAATATGGTAGTTAATGCATGTCACTGTATTAAAGTCACTATTCACATCACGTACAATGGTGAGTATATACGTTCAGTGAACTAACATTGTGCTAACAAAACCACGCCAAACGTCTCTGTTCACAGCACCTGCTGAAGCTTTCCAGCATCAGCAAATGTTGTGGTTGTAGTTCCCGAACCCCGTTTGTGATTGGTGTGCAAGGAACTGATCAGGTGTGTTCTTGACAGAAAAAAGGAAACAATAACATAAACTGGGCTGACTTATCAGTGCGATGCTGCGCAATTCGATTGCCAAACTAATCAAATGTATTTAGGCGCTTCCGTGTACTCGATCCATATCTGCTTGAAGTGAACTTCAGAAGGGGAGCTTTTAAATATCTTGGTAGTTTAAGTCAAACTACCAAAGTATTGCAGTCAAAAGGTACTTAGACTATAACAAAACAGTATTCACGATTTTCAGGTATTTTAAGAGTATTCTGCACGTATTCTTGATTGGTCCATTTTTTTAGGGTTGGAGTATATTTTGCATGAATTAAATAAATATTTCAAGAAATATATGTGAAAGGTATTTTGTGCCTATTAATTTAGTATTTACATATTTCAAAACGCATGAAGGGAACTTCAAATGTAGTTTAAGTAAAGGTATTTTAAAATGATTTTTAGAAGTATATTTTAGTACTAAGTAACAAAAAAAGAAGTTTATATTTTCGGTATATTTTTCGTGTACTTTCAATTATGAATTGTATTTCAAATACGCTCAAATCAGAATGTGGTATATTTCAAACGTATTAGTTTTCGCTAAGGGGCGCCCTGAGGTTTCTATCTATCCGCCATCTTGCGGGCTTTAAGTCCGACCACAGCAAGTCACGCTCAGTGAAAACGCGGCGTGATCCTGCGCTTTTCGTGTATCTAGTGATCGGTTTATCTAGTGATAGCAAACTCACAAAGCCGACGAACGCCATGACATTGCACTTTTGTTGCTGCATGCTTGACTGGCTCCATCGGACCGTGGTCGGACTTGGGGTCGGTTCACACTAAAGTTCTCCGGATCCTGAAAAAGTTCTCCGGGCCCTGCCTGCTAGACCGGACCAACGTACAGACAATCAAAATCTCGCAAAACGATTGACTCGTCGGTCTCCGTTGCCGTGGCAATCGTTGTTTCGGTCCAGTCACATCTTCGAAAAACTTCAAAAGGGTCGTTCTAAACCAGTCGTTCCAAGGTCACTGTAAAGCATCATCGTACAGTGAGCCAGTGTTGTGCCCGTTACCGAAAAAAAGTAACAAAATAGAGTTGCTCGTTAGGTTGGTAAAAATTAAACCCTTTGTATCCCAGAGCCATTTGAAGAACAATAGGACAACTTAGAATACATTTTGGAAGAGCTAACGACCTTGGTAACACACAGAAAAAAAATTACAACTATGTCAGCAACTCAAATATGAGTTTTAATACCAACACATTTGTTGCACCCAGGAGCTCGGGGTTAGAGGAAACAGTAATTTGTCACAAGTTCTGACCATCCTAAGGCACAATGGAATTTTTCGAAGCAGTTGATTCCATCTTGATCAATACACAAATACACCAAACACTCCTTGCAGAAGAACCTTGTGCGCCTTGTGCAAGCGTCTAGCTTGCACATGGGGGCATTTTTCTGTGCCACTTTGACAGGCCAGTGGGCGAAGCTGTCGTAACGTACTGAGGACTGGACGTGATGTGCCCTCTTAGATACGACTCCAGATTTTGAGGTTGAACCTTCCGTTGCTCTCGTCGATGAACCAGCTTTTGCAAGTGTTGGTTCAACGCAATCTTCATTGCAAGCTGGCATGCTTTCCTGAGAATGCATCAGTCCAAGTGCTACCTGAAGTTTGAAGTCTGCAAGATGCAGGCCTGCCGACTTAGCTTTACGGTAAAGAAGCCATGCGTTTGTAACAGAAAGGTCAATGAGATGGAACAATACTCTTTTGTACCACTTTTTGGTCTTCAGGTCATTTCTGTAAAAGGAGAGGAGCATATCAGCTTTGTCGACGCCACTTATGCGTTCATTATAAACCCTGACAAGGTTCGGCCTCTCCACGTTTACGTAAGTCTTCGTCTTCCTCTCGTAACGCGTGCAGGTGTCAAGGGGTTCAACGCTGTGAACATTTGAGCCAACTGTAACAGAACGGTCTTGTGAGTCCTTTTCGGTGCGGAAATCCATCACTCCTCTTCCTTCTTTCTTCAGTGTTTTTTTCTCCCTTCAAAGGACAATTCCCGGTTCTCGCCACCCTGAACGTTGCTGTTGCTCCGAGATGCATTTTCTTCATTTCGATCAAAAGTTAAATTGATGCGAAGAAGTTATCAAAGAAGACTTGTGTTCCGGGAGGGGCAGTCTTGAGTTAGCCGCAAAACAACCTTTCCGCTTTCCCCGTTATCTTCTGGAGTATTGGGGGCATCTCTGACAAGATTATCTCCATACACGTACAAGCGATAGACATAGCCAGAACGTCCTGCCAAGGTCCAAGCTTTGTATCCTCACTTGCTGGGCTTGTTTCTAACGTATACCTTGAGCAAGTGGCATCCCTTGAAAGGTATCATCATTTCGTAGACAGCGACACAGGCTTCAATTTCTGCTGCTTCCCAGAAGTTGATGTTCAACCTTGTCAACAAATGGCGTACTTTCCTCAGGCTGTCATAGCCCGTCATCCCCCTTCTTCACTTCTTCGTTGTTGTGGCTAGCATGAATCAGGGACAATATTTCATCAAACGTGTTCCTCGTCATGCAGTTTGCTACGTCAGCTTGACGCGTGTTGGCCGACCAGTACATTCTTCTAAAAGGAAGGTCAACAACCGACATGTAGAGTACAATGCCGATAAATTTCCGCATCTTTGGTACCGACAATGGCAGGATCCTAGTGCGATTCACTTGAATTCTGTACCTGTTGGTTTCGAATGTGAGAAACTCAAGAAGATCATGGTCGACAAGTTGCAGAAACATGCTCAAAGGGGTCTTAATGGCCTTCAAACCACTACGCGGCTTTAAAACACTCTGTTCTGCACCAAAATTGAAATCGATGTCCTTCTTTACCCAATGCCACACTTTTTTGGGGTTTGTTTTTTGTGTGTGTGTATAAGTCACCTCATCGTCTTCGGAATTTTCACTTGAGCTCTTGGTTTCACTAGCCGCACTTGGCAGCTGCTCGGTATACTCATCATCGCTCCCGGAATCGCCCAAGTTGTCGTCTTCGCTACCTCTTAGGATGTCGAAGAGTACAGATTTGATTTCTTCATCTCTGAGAGGATGCCTGCACATGAAATAAATTTATGATTAATACTAGAACTAACGAGCATACCAAAATAATAGCTGTATAGCTGGACGCAAATATTTTATTTGACGTGTACTAAAGAGGAATAATTTATTAGTCTTATTCACTGATGGCCATACATCAGTACGTATAGACGGACCACTTGCTACAGCGAACTATTATAACAAATTTGTAAATGTGCATTTGCTTACTTTAGCAACCTATAAATTAAATGAAAACTCGGCCTAAGCTAATGTCGTGAACAGCACACTCAAATATGGGCCCCCAGTGAATACACACGACATGCAGTTTAAGCAGCAGAAACAAATTTACTTTCATCGTAGTTAGCCTGCACTATGAAGCTTATGTTCCTGACTGCCACAATCGTGTATGTAAACTAAAACATGTCCCAAAGTTTAGCGGAACTAGAGATATATTGATGAAAAATGCCACGTTAAATCCTCAATGATCAAGGAAGACACTTTCACTGTTATGTGCGTGATTCGACGTCCATAAAAGAAGAGCGAGCAGCGATTTATCTCATGCTTACCGTTGGTGTCGTTTGGACGTGGAAGCCATTTTGGCGGGAATACTATCTCTTTCCGCGTTACCCGTAGCGCCATCTGCCGGCACTCTAAGAAAATAACAGCATCCACTATTGTTGCAGCCAGGATTCTGTAGTTATTGAGCATATTATTGACACATTAAAAAAATAAAACAAAAGTGCCACGAACGTGGCACCTGGGATACAAATGGGGGCTACGTTACTTTTTTTACAAACGTAACGATATACCGTTACCGTTACTTTTACGTTTCTTTTACGTTACTTTTGTGTTCGAGTACATATGTTTGGCAGAGATGTATGGTAAACCTCCTTAACAAGCTTCGATAAAGATAGAAATTTACAGAGTGATTTCATAGTGTTTTGATGCGCGAAGCTGCTTAATTTTCGGCATGCAGAGTAGGCATTGATACTGTAAATTATCTGATTCCGTCTCCTTTAGTTGATACATTTCATTCAGTCCTGGCCATGACACCGGAGTTTCGTTATTCATGTTTATCCCACACGCAGAATGAGTCGGAGATGGTAGTCAATCGGCTTTTATAATCTACAGCATGCGAACGGGGACTGCTGGAACACAACCAGTCAACAAACACCTCTCATCTTTACGCCGGTTTCAGTAACAGTCCGGTTCATACTATTACCAGAGACTGATTTACTTCACTATGTGGAACAGGACACCGGCTACCAGCACATTGGTTATAATCACTTGCTTCCTCTTACCAGCAATAACTCTTAGTTTTCCTGCGAAAAAAAAAAAATTTCGTGCATGTAAGTTCTCTTTTCAGGTTTAAAACTTTTTTTAATTTTTTTTTTCACTATGACCTTAGGGAATTAAAGACTAATCAAGCGAAAGATTCTTCTCTGTACAAAAGTGGGTCAGGAACTTTCAGGCAGCGAGGGGGAGAGCGAAGGTAAAAAATTCCACAAAGGGTGTTTCTTCTTTTTTTTTAACTAGAGAAACGAGCAGATTGCTTGCCACTAGTTGTCCACTGTTGTAAACGAATGCCTCTCTCTCCCCCCCCCCCCCCCCCCCCCCCATGTCCACCTCTGCTGCACAGAGCAGAGGGGGAAGAGGAGGGAGGGGAGGGGAGACGGCTGTAACGAAGTCGTTCGTTCAAGCCTTGTAAATGGTGACACTATGAAGGAAAAGGAGGACGAACGTAATCAGCTGATAGCCGAAGGTTTTTTTTCGCCTTCGAGAAGCGAGATAGTGTCGCCTTTTAACGGATGTCCCTTTAAATAATAAAAAAAAAACTTTTTTTAAAGTTTACTGTGACGGATGCTGGTTCCGTGCAGCGATAAGCTTGCGCAGGATTTTGAGATGGATGGGTGAATAGATGGACTGATAAGTGGAAAACCCACCGTTTTAGGAAATCAAAGGTTCAGAAGTCTTAGCAGCAAGAGACGGCATTGCCTGGGCATTGCGTGCTCGAGCGCAAGTAGTTGCCCCTCGAGCAGAGAAGCTAGATCCTCCATTGAGCTTAGTGACCTAAATTTAGTTCCCCTAACGTCTCCAGCTGTATGCACAAGATTGCTATTCTAAACGTTAGATCAGGCGTCGTGACCTTTTCCCGAAATACCTAATGCATTTCGCCAGTATTGGTCAAAAGTAACGAGTAATGTAATTTGATAGCCGATACCGTAAAAATGTAACGAAAATACTCTTTAGTCATTCAGAATACTAACGAGTACGTTACTGCGCTAGCGAAAAATGTAACGCGTTGCCAGTAACGTCGTTACTAGTAACGCGTTACCTCCAACACTGAATTACCCTCTAAGAAAGAAAAAAAAAGAAAAAAGAAATGGCAGCGGCACGTTTTTTTTTTGTTTTTTTTTCCCTCTTTTACTAACACGGCTCCAAATGGACAAAAAATTAAAAAAACAAAAACGAAACGGTCTTTTTTTTTTTTTTTTTTTTCCGAGGCAGGCGGGAGGAGAGTTTCGGCCATCCCGTGTCAGCTTCTTTCGGCTCGCTGTATGGGGCAGTTAGTGCTTTCGTACTAAAAAATCGAATGCTCTTTAAGAGCAAAACACAGGCTCATGTGGCAGGAATACAGCTATGTCTTAGAGGCGTATTAGACATATCCCCTTAGTTTCCCAAGATGACCGTCGGACATATCTAGTCAGAGTTCTAGGAAGTATGTTCGATGTAGCCAGCCAATTTCCCTAGATAAGACGAACTGCTTTATACAATACGACGCAAAATATATCAAAATTATCATCTTTAAATGATTTTTAAGAATATATAAGAAACATTTGCTTAGCGACTATTGTAGTTCTAGTATTAATGCAGAAAAGCAGCTCATTTTTCTAGATACGGCAAAATTGCACGCCAATTATTAGAAACAAAACTCTACTGTATATGATTGAGCGTGTTGGTTATTAATTTACGATAAGGAAAGAGGGACATTAAACACAGACAGACAAGACAGGCTTTCGACTTTCAACAAAAACGTTTACTGGCTCGACTTCGCCTCCTGAAGCTCGACCGGGGGGGGGGGGGGGGGGGGGGGGTCTGGGTGGTTGAGAGAGAGGGTGGTGGGTGAGGGAAGCGTGGCCATGTGGCCCTGCTCCCAGCTACGCGTACACGGCGTAAAGTGGGGTCTGCTGTGTGTCAATCGACACGTCGCCGTTGCATGCAGGCCCAAGTGTCGACGGTGCCCTCTTGGGGAAAGGAGGGAGGGAGGGGAGGGGGGGGAGGAAGGGCGCAGACAAGGGGAGGAGGAGAGGATGCACCGGCGTGGCTCTCTTGGGGAAGGAAGGAAAGGAGGGGAATGCGCGGAGAAGAAAAGGAGCAGAGGTTGCGGAATTCTTTACTTTTTTTTTTATGTCTTTGGAGGAACCTTCTCGGCCCCGCAGGAAGCGAATCTCTCGATCGAAAAGAGAAAGGGACGGGCTGGACAGGTTTGAGACAGAGGATTTGATAAGTAGAGACTCAAGGATTTCCCTGCCGAATCGAGATTTGTGCCCACCGAGAATTTTGGTTTTCGAGAACTCGGGGGTGCACGAGGGGCAGTTTTTGGCATGAGCCACGACTGGATGAAAGGAGTCGGGAGAAGGAGATGAGATCTCCTTGGCGTGCTCCCGGAGACGGTCATTCACGCAGCGCCCCGTCTGACCGATGTACTCGGCTCCGCGCATAAGAGGGATACTATACACCTTCTCCCTTGTGCATGGCCGGAAGCACTGCGCGTGTCTTTTTGTGCATGTGGGTGGGGGTTCTGGGTTGGTGACTCGCTTGCACATGCCTCCCAATTTAAATTTACAGGTGAAAACAACGTTGGTACCGAATCGATGTGCAAGTGCGCGCAGTCGGTGTGCCGTGTCGTGGGAGTAAGGAATACACGCAGGGCGGGCAGACCGGATCTCGGAGGGGGCCTCTTTTGAGCGGCTCCTAGAGTGCAGGATGAGCTTCTTGCTGATGTTATCTAGGAGGTCTACCATATATAACCATATATAACATGTGGAGATTAGTAATGCGGAAAATGCTTCTTGATGCCTTCTTTCATGTTCTGTGTAAGCAAAAAAGTGGGCGTGGTCTCACGAAAACTCCACAAATGTTTCATTTCACACCGAAAATCTCGTTTTGTGTGTACAAAAGTTTCGGTTTCGGTTTCACGGTTTTATTTCTTGTAGGTAGTACATTTTCTAGTCACTAGGGATTTTTTGTAGCGCGTTTCAAAGAAATTGGCGGTAGGCGCGTTCAAGCGTTTAGTTTGAGCTTCAAAGCGTATTTGATGCTACTGTGAACATCGTACTGCTGTGTTTTCTTTAATATTACGAATGGGAAGATTGTAACGGCTGACAGCAAAGGGGAAATTTCATGTGAATCGCTACGGACAGTCACAATCATCGGAGAGACCTGTAAAGAAGGTACGGCTACAGTCATGTGCTTCATCTTCGAAAATAGACTCGAATGGTTCGTTTGAAGCAACTGCTGACAATGACAGTGTGTTTGGATACCGCCTTATCGACGTCAGTATCTAATTGTTTTTTTAAAGAACATTTGGTTTATGCGTACTGTGATAACCACGCATCATTGTGCATCAGCGGACTGGTGGAGTCGAAGGTGATGGCAGAACACAAAACGCTAACGAGGCACTCAACCAAATGATCTGGACCAGATGCCCAAAAACCACGTTTGGTAGCTTTAAGACTGTTCAGACAGTTGTTGATGACGCCATCGCCAGCTACAATGATGGAAATATGTCGCGAATCAAAGTGTTGAAGCAATTAGGTGCCACCCCTGGTCCCCTGTATGTATCTACACTGACATCAATAGACTCGAAACGGATCCGGAAAAGCGAACTACAAGCTTACAGATGAAGCCAAACAACACAGAAAAGGCGAAAGAAACAAAGAGAAAGGCTACAGTGACGCTGCCCAAGAAAAAGACTGGAATCCTGGAATGTTTTGATGATATTGTTTCTTTCTATTTTCTTTAAGTCTTTTTTCTTCAGAACATAATTTTTTGTCATTCATGTACCTTTTTTACAAAAACTATGTGGTCTACTTCAATGATTTTTTTTAGGATGGCTGTTTTCACATCTTGAGCTTCGCTGGAACTAGAGCCAATGGTTGATTTGAATTCTGTTTTTTTTTTTTTTTATATTATTATTAAACAAAAAGCTCTGGAAGGTGGTGATTTTATTTTACCAAACATGAAAGAAAATTATTTCTCCTCATCTTTTTAACGAAAACAATAACTTCTAGTTCCAGGAACGTAGGAGTACCGTAGCTTTCGGCCTACCAATTTTGAAAATTCTGCGATAAGTAACTTTCTTGAAAAAGGTACAAATGTAAACAAGAGAAATAAATAATAAAAATAAAAAAAACAAATTCAATTATTTTTTATTTTCATTTTTTATTAATTTAAATTTTACCCAGGAGACGTGTAGTAATTTTCATGAACTTTGCTTATTTTATTTCCATTTTATAAGTTATTTTGTAAGTATCCCTTTCAAACTCTCACCCCACCTTAATGAAATTCTGTGAAGGTTAGCAGTTTCGCGCAATCCAGAT